CAAAACTAAGTAGATGCCAAAACATTGCAATTGGCCAGCGTCTTGTTGTTCTTTTCATCTCAATCCGTTTGGCCATTTCGTCTACAACATCAACATTTCCCATGTATTTGTTATATCTGTGGTTTACATTGGTTCTAATCAAATCAAGGTAAGTTTGTTGTATATTCGAATTATAGTTAATTGGTGCATTCTTTTCAATTTAAACAAGATGAACTTCTGTATCTGGTGTTGACAGAATTAACACATTTTTGTTGTGTTCGATAAGGCAACTTAAAGTAAAACCCTCTTCGGTTTGGCCAATTATTAGAGACCCATTTTCTCTTTTTTCTTATGTTTTAAGAATTTTGGGAACTTCTTTTTTATTTGCTTTAATTCTACCCAATCCCGATTGCTCCATTTGTTTCCAATTGAAGTATTTTACCAAGTTTAATAAAGGTAAAAAACGATCAGTGTAAACAGTAAATGTTTTTTCTCGAAAAGGCTTTACCAATTCTATTACTGCTTTTGTTCCCAAACATTCAACCTTTTTTTATTGTTGCTTCCTCTATAAAGAAATAGTGTTATTCATTGGATCAACAAGTAGATAAAATTTGAAACCAGATTTGGCGGGTTTGTTTGGCATTTTCATTTTGTTTTGATATTTTCCAAAAAACGAGACAAGTTTTCATCTACAGATAATTTTGATGATATGACAATTGACCTCCCGAAAGATACAAAACGATCTCTTAAAACTTTTACGATTTTCTTTATTTCATAATAATTATCCCAATCATCACAGTTGTAAATCAAATCTTGTTCAAAAAATAATGAACATTGAGATACACTTTGGTGTTCAGAGTTCGAATTTGTATCATTTTTAGCGTCTTCTGATGATTCCGAGTTATCACTACTCAGTGTTTCCGTGTCTGTTTGGCTTGAAGTAGATGTTTCACTTTATTCGGAAATTTCATCAGATGACGTTTCTTCTGAACTTCCAGGTTCCATTCTTCTTTGTTGTTCATATAATTGTTCTCGTATAACACTTTCGTTGTTAATAAACACATTCCAATTTTCTTTTGGTATCTCTTTAGGTTTTAAAGGGCGGTTAATAATGTCATCAAAACGGAGACATCTCAAAAGCTCTTTATACCTTTTGAGAGAAAAGGTTGCTCGATATATTTCTCTGCTGTTGATTCCATACCAGACATTTCGTTGAATAATTTTCGTTTCTCAATAAATACCTTGTATCAAGCTTATTCCAACAAAGGCTTTAATATCTGACAATTCAACGTTGTACCAAGTTTGTTTTTTCTTTTTATCATCGAGATTGTTAATAAATACACAGTAACGACCGTATGTATTTGTGTAGAGTTGTATATCAGTTAACAAATGTGTTGGAATAAAGCAGTCAACAACTTCTTCGATATTCATATTTAAGAAAAAATCAGTGATGTGCCTATTCCGTTTAGGTTCACAGTTACATTCATTGTGTACATTTTTAAATTCTAATAGATTAAACATGTTCTTATTTTCGGTGTTATTCAATTGTTTTTGAGATACTATTTCATCGTGTTTGAGTTTAAGACTTTTCTTGGTGTCTTTCTTGACACGTTTATCCCCTCTTCCAATATCGGTATTTTCAGTATCACATTTTGGTGTGCACGGAATTTCGTGCAGAGATTGCACCATTTTAAAAGGATTAGAGTGAATTATGTATTTGTCTTCACTGTTGATTATTTAGGGGAAATGATATTTCATTTGTATTGTTAAATGTGGACTGTGTGTTTCAACCAAAATAGCCAACCTTTTTATTAATTCTAAATTGTGTGGATAAACTTTCATTGCTTCCCTACAATTATCAAATTGCACAATTAATGCAATATAATGACATACAAAAAGACCACATGAAACACTGTCATTTTGTCTTGCAATTCCTCTTGCTAAATAAATATCAAATCACAATCAAACAATTCAAGAATATCAACCCCAACTGACAAATAAAATGCATCATGATAATTATTTAAAGAATAAAACAATTTTGCGCGGCGATTATGATAATTAATGACAAATAAGACAAAATGATCATACCCAAATATTGGTACAAATGTTAAATAATTATTGATCAATACATTGAAAATGTGTTTTTTTAACACAGAATTGTCAATACCAAAAAGCAATTGTCTTTTTTCAATAATACCGATATACTCAAAAACGGAACCACTTAAAAACCTTGCATATGCAGCGATTGTGTTGATGTTCATTATATTTACTTCTTTTAATTTGAGTTTGTTTTTGATTTAATTTTATATTATAATTTCATGTTTTTTATAATCATTTTTGTTGATATGTTATTAATTCCCGATTTTTACATGTATTTTACAATCACTCTAACATAATAATTTTTTTTGTTTTTTGTACAAAATGTTTTGTAATCATTAATTTCAATGTTATTCTTTGTTATTAAGGATTTTTAAAGACACGAAACGTTTTCATGTTTTCGAAAAAAAGTTAAAAATACAGTCGATACTCTATCGGATTGGTATTCTATCGGATTTGGTTATATATCCAATCAAAACTTGTTCCAATCCGATTTTATAAATATAAAACCCGTATAATTAGTACTTAATAGCGTAATACAATATTATTTTCTTTTTTACCTTTTTGGTTTTGTGAACAAAAAAATCCAACTTAATAGTATTGAAATCAAGAATTTGGCAATCTATATAAACAAGTAATTTTTTGGTGATAAATGCATTTGATTTGTCAAAATCTTAAAACCAAAATTATAACTATAACATATAATGATAGCAAAGAACAGATTTATTATTATAATAATATAAAACTTGGTGAACAACTTAGTGTTCACTAATAAGTTGAACACAAGTTTTTATTAAAATAATCACAATTATTACATATTACAAAATAAGCATTTAAACCACAATTATATCTATTCGCAATTTCTAATATAGTCAGTCTTTTAACGTCATCTGGTGGACATAAAATAGCTTTAATTTTGTCAAAACATTAAGCATTAGAAAAAAAGTGATAAAAAAACCAAACCGATTGAGATGGATTTTAAAGACGGCTTCCCAAAATATGCCAATCTTTATGTTTAAAAAGGTACCAGATAACGTTTAAAGACAGACTGCATCTGTTTTTTATCTGCTTAATATCGAGAATCTTTTTTTTTGTTTTAAGATATTAAGTATTGTGATAGATACTACAATAATAAATCCATCATGTTGTTTATGTGTTTTTAAAATACAAATTAAAAATGAATAATGACAAATAAATTCATATGTTTACACGTGTCTCTTATTATTGTTCTGTTAAAATATTCATTTTACGTTTTTAAATTATGTTTTTGTCCAAAGAAATAAATAATGCCAAAAAATATAGAAACTAAAAATAAAATTTTCTTTTTATTTTCCAATCCTTGGGAAAAACCATTTTCCCATCATTCCAATCCGATAGAGTATCGACTGTAATTATTAATGTGTTATTTTAACACCATCCATGGGATATACACGGAAATGGTGAATCCTTGCCACAGAAAGGCATTTACCAATTTTTATTGAACATTTGCCTTAAACAAAAATGTTTTTTTTGTGTTTTTTGTGGTATCATTGCCCGTTTATTGAAGATTTTTATCCTATATATAAAGTAAAATTTATAATTTAATTATTATATGGTTTGGCAAATTAGGACTTCATAGTCGTAATATCCCATTTTTTAGTGTTTTTATGAGTACAAATACAAATTGAAAAGCGCTTTTTCTCGATATAAATAAATAAGTTCTAAATATTAAGAAGAATTTAGAGTGTCAAATAATAGCTCTTATATATGATAAATATTAACAAAATGTTTATAATGAAAACCATTAATGATTAAATCCCGTTTTTATTCACACAAACGACAAAATAAATAATTAAATTAAAAAACAATTAACACTAAATCGATTTTAAATAATTATTAAAAAACTTAGATATTATAAAAGCAAATTTCCCGTATAAAAAAAACTTAATTATACTCAATAATTAAAATTTATTAATATATATTTTTAAATTAAATTTGGTATGATTAATTAAGAAATGCTTCAGTTTTATGATATGAAATAGAAATATTTGATGGATTTCCCAATAAATTAAACCAAATTAAATTCAATTAGTAAAACTTTCAATAATCCATCAATGATGAAATCGTTTTTTTGGAACAAGTCTAAGTTAAATTGGTATTATTTAA